CGGGGGGGGGGGGGGGGGGGGGGGGGGGGGGGGGGGGGGGGGGGCGGGCGGCCCTCCGGGCCCCTTGCCAGACTCGCCTCCTCCACCCCCGCTCGCCCGCCTGGAGGGGCTGTTGCGCTGGGCGGCGGCCGGTCCCGCCGGGGCTCCTGGCAGAGGCGCTTTACCTGCGAGGTCCACGCCTTGAAGAGTTGCTCGCCTGCGGGAAGGAAAAGCGCAGGTCGGGAGTGGGCCGGGCGTGCGCCTTCCCCGCCGCCCCTTCTGGGAAGCCGCGGTTCCCGCGGAGCGACCGGTATCGGGCCGGCCTTCTCCGCCCGCGGGACCGCGCTGCCTCCCCGAACCCCTGCCCTGCCCTGCCGGAGGGGCCAAGCGGGCCAATTACTCCCGCCGCCTCCGCCGCGCACCTGAGGCGGAGTCGCTGGCGGCGCAGAGGCCGAGTGCCAGTCCGGAGCAGAGCACCAAGAGCGGCAGCGCCCGCGGGGCCATGCTGGGCAAGGACGGGATGGCTGCGAGCGGGGTGCTGAGCGCTGGAGCGGCGCTCCTCGGAAGTGGCGGATAGGCTGGGCGGCTACTTGGGCAACCGAGCCCGGCCGCTGCCTCCGCCCCTTCCTGCCTCGGAGGCTGCTCTCCCACCGGCCTGGAGCGGTACCGGCGGGGGGGGGGGCAATGGAGCCGGGGAGCTGCGCTGAGTCACCTTCGCGGGGGCTCCTGGCCGGAGAGCGAAAGCCTTGCGGGGCTGGGCAGGACCCGACGAAGGGGGCATGTTGCCCCCAAGGAGGCTGGAGGGCTGCAGGCCGGGCAGGAGTCTCCTGAACTCCTGGCAAAAGGATGTACCGGTTCTCAGAAAGAACTATGGAGTCTCCGCTGTGGTGGCCCCAAAGGTGCTTTTCCAAAAAGCAGCTAGACTCTCTTGAACTGAAGAAGCTTCTGGGATGAGAAGCAAAAGGTTTTCAAAGAAAAAACCAAGAGCCCAGTTGCCTTTTTACAGATTAACAGAGTGGGAAGGGACCTTGTAGGTCATCTAGTCCAACCTCCAGCCCAAGCAGGAGATCCTACACCATATCTCACAAATGGCAGTCCAGTCTCCTTTTGAAAGCCTCCAGGGATGAAGCTCCCACAACTTCCAAAGGCAACTTCTGTTCCATGAGTTGATTGCTCTCACTGTCAGAAAATTACTCCTCATTTCCAGGTTGAATCTCTTCTTGATCACTCTCTGGGGCAACCCCTCAAATATTAGAAACCTGCTATCATGTCTCCCCTGGTCCTTCTCTTCCCATTTCCTACAACCGTTCATCGTATGTTTTAGCCTCCAGTCCCCTAATCATCCTGGTTGCTCTTCTCTGCACTCTTTCTAGAATCTCAATATCTTTTAAAAACGATGCAGTATTCTATGTGTGGTCTTACTAAGGCTTTATAGAGTGGTATTAGTACCTCCCTTGATCTTGATTGAATCCCTCTGTTAATGCACTTTAGGATTGCATTGGCATTGTTGGCACTGTTAACTCCTATTTAATTGGTTGTCCATTAAGATTGCAATATCCCTTTCACAGTTACTACTATTAAGCCTGGTTTCAACCAGTCTATATGTGTCCTTTGGGTTTTTCTTGACTAAGTGTAAGACTTTACACTACATTGAATTTCATTTTGTTCGATAGGGCCCAGTGTTCAAGTCTGTCAAGATGCATCTGGATCTTGAGCCTATCTTCAAAGGGGCACCTTTGAACTAAGGAGTGATAGAAACAGATGGTGGGGGCAGAAGGTCCCTTTTGTGGCAAAGTGTCCATCCATATTGCATGGGAGAAGGCCACGGTAAGCCATTCCTGGATCTTGATCAAGGAAACCAGATGGAAAATATAAAACAGTTGAGGGCTTCTCAAGTGATATGGCCTTCCGGTCGAGGATTTTTCAGGGTGCTAAGGGTGTTTGCAACATGGCTCAGTGAAAGCCTTTGGGGTGACTAGGTGCTGATGATGCCTTAGAGAAAAAGATCTGAAATTGCAAAGACAGAATTACAATGAAACATAAGAAGCAGGGACATGGAGAAGTTCAACCCACAGAAAGATGAAATGAAACTACTGAAAATTGCCATAATAAGCATCAGGGAAATGAGATGGGAGGTTACTTTCTGTCAGACTACTCAGAGTGGGAGGAAAGCAAGAAAGTGTTTTGAAAACTTGACAAATTTTATTAAAAGGCACTTGTGAATATAGATGGAAGGGACCTTGGAGATCATCTAGTCCAGAGGTCGCCAACCTTTTGGACTTCAGGGACCACTAAATTCGTAATTTTAAATCTGTGGATCACTAATACGATTTTTAAAAAATGATAAATAGTATTTAGTGCAATATAAAAATGCAAACATTTTTTTCTGTGGACCACCAAAATTTTCTCATGGACTAGAGACCACTGGTTGATGACCGCTGTTCTAGTCCAAGCCCCTGCTCAGAACCTATCCCATTGGACACATGGGGCTGCCACAAAGACGAGGGGCTCAACTTATTTTCCAAAGCACCAGAAGGCAAGACAAGAAACAAGGATAGAAATTGATCTGGCTTGATGACTTGGGAAAGTTAACCTGAAAAGAAGCTCCATTAGTCAGATATGCCATCAAATTTGCCACTGCATGTTTGTTGAAACTATCATTGCACGTCAAGCCCTGCTGACACCACATAGTGAACACATTGATTATATTATTGGCCCAAAGGAAGTAGAAGAGCTCAGGTGTAACAGCAAAGACCCAGCCAGTTGCTGACTGAAACACATCACAAGCTGCTCATGTACAAGTTCCAAATCAAGCTAAAGCTGCAGAAGAAAGCCAATTAGTTCCACAATGTGATGATAATAACAAGTGGTTTGTTAAACTTGTGTGCTGCCTGACAATGCAGTCAAGGAATTAACAATAAAACCCATAAGCCCTAAAAGAAGGCCCGGTGTAAGAGAGCAGATGGAATGAAGTGAGGGGGGCAGGTGAAGAGCATGTGTTTATAAGGTTTTCAAGGAGAACCTTAGGAATTGTTTTACTCACAGAGAACCAGAGGATGTGTGAATGAAATCAAAGCATTTATAAAAGTTTATAAAGGTTGAGAGTTGAAAGATGAAGAAACAGAAGAAAACAAACTGGATGTCAGAACAAATGGTGGAAATTGCCAAGAAAAAGAGAGTTCGATGCCAAGTAATAAAACAATCTCAGGAAGTAACTTCACAAAGAATATCAGAATTGTTA